TATATATATATATATATATATATATACACACACACACACACACACACACATATATATATATGTGTATGTATGCATGTATGTATATTTTTCCAGAAATCATGCCAGCACTTCGTTTTGCAGAGAGGGACAAGGGTAAACCTAGAGATCCACTTCAGAAGCCTCCAAATGCCTTCTTGCTTTGGAAGGATTATTAAGATAATAACCCAACATTTCAAGGAACTCCCCTGCCAGTAGCTTTTAGGAGCATCCAGACAGGCGCAATTAATGGAGGCAGGCAGCAGAGGGGCAATAACATCTGTATGAGTACCCATATTTAACATGAAGCAGCTTTGGATTCATCAGAAAAGAGAAGCACATTATGCCATAGATGCCCAGATATTTTGATGCTTCTGGAGGCAAGATCACGTGCCCTCTCACTGACCGAAGTCTAAATGTCTACACCATCAATGTGAAAATTAGGTGGCATGTTTTCAAAAGAGAAATACAGTACAAGAAAGAAAATCCCCAAGCTGCAAAATTTATAAAACTTAAATTATTGGATAAAGGGCTGGCATTCTTTTTGTAAAAGTAAAACTTGTTAGAACTCAATACTCTTTCCTTCTTCAAATATGCATTTTCAGGCCCACTATGCCCTAATTTCTTGAGCAATGACAACCTCCTAGGCACAGACAGCTCTGATTTGTGCCAAGTTTCTTGACACCTTATATAAATTCTTCATGAGGTTCAAATGGTAAATAATCATCTATTTAATCCACACCAAAACATTTTACTTCACCTGAAGATGTTAGAAAGAAAAGGCAGTTGAGAAGACAATTCTTTAGGCCCTGACAGTTGTTTTTCTTCACCAAATCCAAATAAAAGTTTCCATCCCAGAGCTTACCATGTTATCAAGCATTTTTAACAATAAAATTTGTAATATTTGAACCCTTTTTTTTGTTAAAAATGTTTTTATTTTGGAGCTACTCATTAAATATAATTTAAGATAACCAAGGATTTCCCTTTCAAATAAAAGTAATACAGATTTTAAAGTTGGATATTTACCTTGATTAAGTAGTCATGAGCCAGGGCATAAAATCAAAAATTAATGCTGTTTTTTGGTATTTTTGTGCATCTTTAAACCTAAATCTGGGTTTATTGACTTCTAGACTCTCTCCTCTTTAGATCATTCTAAGATCTCATGTGAAAAGAAAGGAGAAAATATACCCAAGTTTGGATGATTTCTTAAAAGACCAGTTTGAGTTTTTAGGCATTTTTTCTCAAAGCCAGTTCCATGTGTTTGGCAGTGACCACCAGCTAAAAGTAACTGATGGCCTCACTGCCTTTGATAATCAGAGAATGGATCTATCTGCAGCAGGGCTTCAGCCACAACCGCTCAATTACAGGGAGGAGATTGGGTGGTTCTTTTTCCCCTCTGCTTTTCTTAATTGGTCAATGACCTTAAACATGATGCAGCTTTTTCAGATGTTGAGAAATAAATATTGTGAAGTTTATGCCTGACCTTGCCAGGGACAAATTTCAAAGCGATATAATGCCTACAAGAGAGGGAAATGGACTGGTGTTTTACTGGGCTGTACTGAGAGTGGATTATGTCTCAGGTGATTTCTAAGACACTAGGTATGTTGCTGCTTTTCTCTCATGGTATAACAATTCTGACAGATGGGGACATTGCTGAAAGGTGCCTTTCCATAAGACAGGCATTAGCTTTTGCAATCCCTGATAGAAAGACTAAAATGAACCTACAGGGGCAGGCAATGTCCAGGTACCTTCAAATGAAATCTCTAGGTATATAGCAGAATAATTACTCAGATTCATTTTGGTGGTTGCTCTGAAAGATACGGAAGCGATTTCCCTTGCGTTTTATTGTCTCAACTTAATTGCCGTATTGAGTACCTTACTTGTTGTTTTCTTCCTTTGTCCCCGGCCTGTGCCACTGACTATGTGCTTGATCAATTTGCAGTTTGAAAACATTGTCTTATCTAGTTCTCTGTCCATTTTTGTTGCTTTGTTGGTGGTGTGGGTCATTGTTGGTGATGTTTTTGTGAGAGAGAGAGAGAGAGTTAGAGAGAGAGAGAGAGAGAGAGTGAGTGTGTGTGTGTGTGTGTGTGTGTGCAAGACCATAGTGGAGGGGGGTAAGGAGGAGAAAGACTGAGATTGAGATTTGGCCTAATAATTGTTAGTGTAACTTTTAGTGTGTGGTTGAATAGTAAAATTGACTGTAGCCTCCAAAACCAGTCCCTATAATTTGCTGCCTGAAGTCTTCTGCACAGGGGAGGACAGCAGTCATATCCTCTGAGTGGTGAGAAAGCAAGAGTTTGGACTGAAAACCTGTATTTTAGTTCTAGGTCTGCATCTCACTAGCATCACAATCCTGAGCAAGTCTTTGATGACTGCAGGGCCTCAGTTTTCCCATCTCTAAAATGATAAAGTTGAACCAGATGATTTCAAAAGGACTTTCTGACTGTGGGGCTTTGTGACTAATTGTTGAGCTCCATAACAGAAAATGTATCATCTGTGCTTATGTAACCATAGCTGGTGGTTCTCCTGAAGATGACAACATCTGAATGAACAGTGGCTTATTTTAGGAACAGGGACTGAAGCCCCTAGGGACTACAGGGTTATTGCTGTGCGAGTTTCTTAGCCATCTGAGTATAAAGACAATAACTAAACTTTCTTGAGTAAATTTATGCTGCAATCTCTTTAACTATTTTCCCTCTGATGACTAGTATGGTGCAGAAACCAACCAATCAAAACAGAAGCCTCAGCTAGAGTAACATCCTGGAGAAGCTGAAGTGCTAGAGTAATAAATACCCATTGTGGAAATTAAGAGAATGTAGAAAATTAGGAAGAAGAACATCACAATTTACTCCAATTCCACCAAATAAAAATAACTGTCATAACATTTAGCGTATTTTATTTTCAGTCTTTTTTCTGTGCATATTTTGAATAGCTAGATATACCTATTTATGTGTATAAAATTTGCTATATTGTTTTCATTTAACATTAGTGCAAAATCATTTTCCCATGTCATTAAGAAATACATCTTCATAAACAGCATCATTATTAGTGGCTCTAAGTAATCCGCCTTAAGCTTAACAAAATATTAAGGGCTAACCATTATTTGCATGTTATATGCCAGACACTAAGCCAGGTGCTCAGTAATTCTCATATTATCCTATTATATAGTTAATATTATTATCCCCAGTTCTCCAGAGGAAGATGCTGAAGTTCGGAGAGGTTAAATAACTTGCCCCTGGTTACCAAGTGGTACAGCTGAAATTAAACCCAGGTCTTTCTTATCTGAGCTCTTAATATCTGCACTATATTTCACAATTTTTCTATTACCTGACACCTTCCCTTATTTTTCCTGTCAATACTAATAATGTATTAAACATTTTGACATTAATTTTTATGCATTTTGCATTACATTTTTAAGATAGAATTCCAGAAGTGAAATTATTGGTTCAAAGAACATGAATACTATGCATATACCCAGAATATATTTTCCTTGAAATTCTTCTATTCTAAGGAAAATATCTATTTGACATTTTCTATAACTGTATCTTGTTTTTAGTATAACATCATTGTTTCACTTGATCATTGAATTTGATTCTTCACGTTCCAATTTTAATTTGGTTTTGCAAAAATTTACAAAGAATTCTTTTGTTTTGCAGTTGTACCAGGAACCATATACTTTATTTTAGAGGTTAACAAAATAAATTTTTTTTGCTTTTGTGTATTTAGTAATCTGACTAGCTTTGATGGGCAACTCAGGGAGATTTGCAGTAATTCTTGGAAATCAGATATCTGCAGCAACAGGCTATGTTCAAAGATTTTTTATTTCTGAATATGAGGAGAGAAATTCATATTTATAATTTAGAGTGTTTTTAAAGCATGCATTGGCATTGAAGTATGGTATAATGGTGCTTATTTCTTCAAAATCAATAAAATTATTAAAGTACTTAAATGTTTGCTTTTTTACGTGAACACAGTGGCAATCATAACAGTTCTTTTCTGGCATTTGTTTTTAATCATCAGTTCCACCTTTTCTTTGGTTAGGTCTACCTCTGTTGGTTCAGCGAACGATTGCAAGGACAATCGTGCTTCAGGAAATAGTAGGAAAAGGTCGATTTGGTGAGGTGTGGCATGGAAGATGGTGTGGGGAAGATGTGGCTGTGAAAATATTCTCCTCCAGAGATGAAAGATCTTGGTTTCGCGAGGCAGAAATTTATCAGACAGTTATGCTGCGACATGAAAACATCCTTGGTTTCATTGCTGCTGACAACAAAGGTATTTTCAATCTAATTGGGTTCAGCAAGTAAAACTGTTATGTCTATTATGAGGATAAATAAATTTATCTCTGTTTTAAGTCTACATAAAAGTCTCATTTCTTTACTGAGGAAAGAAAATTCTTTACTCTGTTCCACAAATAAATACACATAACCACACAATAAAGCATGGCAAATGGGTGATATGAAATCATTTTTGTTGCTAGGGTCAGGCTGATTTTTAAAATGTTGAAGAATGGTGTGGTGCAGAAACCAACCAATTGGAACAGAGGCCTCAACTGGAGCAGAATTTTAGAGAACCCTGCCATGCTAGGGTTCATCTCTTTAGTTGCTGCTGGGTCATGGAAAGATCTGGAGGCAGATATCTTGGTGGGTAGGGATGTTTGTGTTTTTTAGGACAAAGGAGTGTTATTGGGAGTTTTGAATAGCAGCTGTTTACCATCCAGGACAGAAATATTTCAGTATTTTAATAACTGGAACAGACACACCAATGAATGCTAGCTGAATGTTCATCTTTGTTAGGACTGTATTTTTCATCTGTATAACAAGCTTCCTCTTCAGGACTCAAGATTTCTATCAACATTATCTCTTAAATGTGTTAGAATGGTGGCAAGCAAGACAACTTTAGTGAAATTTTCTATTAATGTTACTTTGAGCATGATTTATATCTTGAGATTTAACATTAACAGTGCCACACAGTTTTACTTTTTGAGTTCCATAGAGTGAGACAGAGCATCAGCTTTCTGATATTTAAAATCTGTACTCAAAAAATATTACATATATGCCTCACTGATCAGGGGCTAGATATTAAGTTTGTGGATTATCTATGTTCTCTTTCTTCTTTTTACAAAGTATTTACTCATTTAACTGTGCATTAATGCCCTTAAAAAATTGGGAATAGTCAAATTTGTTGTACTTCAATTATTGGTATTCATGAAGAACTTCGGTGGAGTCAAAGTTGTAACCTGTATCTAAAAAAGGGTTAAAAGAAACTATCTGCGGTTGTCAGGGACCCACCATTGCCTGTGAAAATTAAAAACCTATGGTTATTTTGGTCTAACATAAATTTGATCATGAAAGTATTCGTTGTTAATTAGATGGCAGAAGAGAGGCCTAACACTAATTGTACATTTTGGCCATAATTATGTTTGCTGATGATTTATCATTTCTGATTTGCTAAAGAGAAACTGAGTAAAACCAAGATTAGCTAAAAATGATTTTTTCCAGATTCTTCATTATGTATACTTTGAAACTATACCAGACTATTGAAAATGAGACTTTCCTCATTCAGCTGTTTTTCTCTTCCATCCTAATTCTTGAGCTGAACTATCTACCGGTTAGATTAATTAGCAATGCTGCCAAAGCAGTAATGGCTGTAGTTATGTGGATCATCTTCATGGAACTAATTTAGTCATGATTTTTATTGGATTATAAAACAATATGTACCAGAAGGATCATCTTTGGCTTTTTCTTCTTCAGTTTAATCTCTGTCATATTCTTACATGTCAATGGCTTTGTGCATGATTTTGGATGATCTCTAACATCACTTTCATCTTCATGAATTCCTTTATCTTTTGCAACATTTACAGTTTCACGTTTTAGTCAACTGTCTGACAAAGACATTGATGTTAGAGGGCAAAAATAGCCACTGATGTCAATCAGAGCGAGAGGTGTGAGTAAGGGTTAGTTTTACGTGTGGTCAGTTTGTGAGTGAATTTTATCATGTTATGTTGACTTTTGCATTGCTAGGAAATTTTATTACTACCTGAATTTGGAAATTAAATATTTGGATAACAAGGTACATAAAGTACCTGGCAGGAAAAGTTCTCAGCAAGTATTCAAATATTATAGATTTTTTCTCTGAGCGTCAGAACCAGTCAGGATCGCCCAAGGTTATTGTAGACACTTTATTCCAACAGCTAAAGCTAACTCTAAGGACTCTTAATACCTAGAGAAGTTTTAGGCTAATTTCTCTTCCTCCAAAAACCCATTTTTATAATCTGAATTAGTTTTTTGATTAAATGATGTAAATTATTTGAAAATGTCTGGTAATTGTGTTTGGTTCTTCATATAAGCTTTTGGGGAAAATCATCAACTTCATATTTTGAAAGGTGAATAACATGAACGTTCTTAGACTGTTAGAGCTTTTATGATAGTAATAATACTTTGTGTAAATTTGTTGTATTTCTGATCTTTATTGGTACAATCTATCTTAAAAGCTCTCAGTAATTTATAACAGAACACTAAGCCTAAATGCATCTCCAGTAGTTTCTCCTATACTATGGTTGCTATTACCAGCAGATATTGATTAGAGGAAATAAGAAAGGAGTTGTTCAGTTGTTAGAATCACTGCCTTTAACTTCCTATTTCTATGGTGGGTACATAAAACAGGTTCTAATGTGTCAGCATCTTCAGGAATTCATTGAGAATTTTTACTTTACTACCTTGGGCTGCAAGCACTACCACTGAAGGAATTAACCTTGCTTTGTGAACAATACAAATTAGCTTTAAACACTGAAGTTTGTTAAAAGATTTTGGCTTCTTTGTCAACATATATTTACAGCAACAAAATTATGTTTTTCTGTTAGATAATGGCACTTGGACTCAACTTTGGCTTGTGTCTGAATATCATGAACATGGCTCTTTATATGACTATTTGAATAGAAACATAGTCACCGTGGCTGGAATGATCAAACTGGCACTTTCAATAGCTAGTGGTCTGGCCCACCTCCATATGGAGATTGTTGGTACACAAGGTACGTATTTCCTGTCATATTTTTTCTCCTTGAATATGAGGATAGACCACTAAGTTGTATTTTTTATTTAGCTGTATTTTAATTATTACAAACAACTATCGAATGTAAAAGAACACTAAAGTTCATAAAGCTGAGGGTTTTGTCATGATGTAGTCAATTCTCAAAAATATACTCACCATATTGAATATTATCTATAATAATATTTTTATTCCTTGTGGCTTCATCTTTGCCATTTAGCATATATACTTAGGAAGTCTTTCTTTGGTGGCAAAAGCTCTATATTCAGAGCATACAAATAATTTAAGTGTTTACTTTTGATCATTAACAAAAATTAGAAAGGGTAATGTGATCTTGAAAAATATTTGCATACCATGAACTTGAAGGCCAAATAACACCCTCTGCCTTTTCTATTTTTTTAGTTAATAGAGAGTTGGCTTAGAAAGTCATTAGTCTAGACAGAGCAATGGTTCTCAAATTTGGACTCATGATCCCTTTAAACTCTTAAAAATTAGTGGGAATTCCAAAAGTTTTTTTGTGTGTAGGTTATATCTATTAATACTTATCACATTAGAAATTAAAATTGAGAAAGTAAAAAAAATACTTATTTATTTAATTTACTTAAAATAATGATAATTAACCAATTAAATGTTAATATAAATAAAAGCTTTGAAATGTTAACATTTTTCGTAATTAAAAAGATGTAGTGAAAATAATGGTTTTGTTTTACATTTTTGCAAATTTCTTCAATGTCTGGGTCAATGTCTAGATTTTCATACCTGTTCATCATTCAGACTGTTTCAAAATGTTGCTTTGGTTAAAGTATGTGAGGAAAAGTTGGCATTACACAGATATGTAGTTGGAAAAGAGTCTCAAGGATCTCTGAGGATCTCCAAGGATCTGGGGTCCACATTGGAGAATCACTGGTCTAGGGTAGTAGAAGTTTGAAACTTGTAAGAGAATATTTCCTGTGTTCTTGTGTGGATGTAACAATGGTAATTCTTTCCCCCTTTATTCCGAACATATTTATTAGTGCTTACCAAACATCACCTAGAGCACAAGTATTGAGGGCATGTTGCTGAAAGAGACAAAGCACAGCCCTTGTTCAGCCTGAGTTTAGCTGGGAGAGACATGATTAAGCACGTACCTGAATAAGCAAAATATTTAGATAGTGTTTAGAGCTATGAAGAAAACAAAATGGGGTCCTCTGATGGAGAAGACTTGGAGTACAGAATGGGAGGTCAGGAATGCCTCTCAGAGGAGGTGACGTGTAAGCTAAGGCTTCAAAATGATTCCTCTTGGAGAGACTCAATCTTCAGTAAAGAAAAAAATGAATATGCTTTTCTTATGCTTCATAGGTAAACCTGCTATTGCTCATCGAGATATAAAATCAAAAAATATCTTAGTGAAAAAATGTGAAACTTGTGCCATAGCAGACTTAGGGTTGGCTGTGAAGCATGATTCAATATTGAACACTATCGACATACCTCAGAATCCTAAAGTGGGAACCAAGAGGTAAGATGACCTACTTTGGTAACATACTAAGACTTATGATTGCCCAATAAACACGAATGCCTGGGGTGTGTGTGAAGGGGACTCAGGTTCAAATGGGAGATTATTAGGCCTGAGAAAGCAAGAAGTCTTCTATGGGTCACTGAGAAGTTAGTGGGCACAATGATTATAAAGCAGGAGAGTTGGCATTTTTGGCCATATGACAGTAGCCATTTAGGCACAGAGTCCAGTGGGGAGGAATGGTGGAAGAGATAGTTACATATTAGTTTTAGTGTGTTGCATTCTGAGAATAAATTTTCCTACAGACAGTGGGTAGCTCTTCCAAAAGCCTTTATATTTCATAGATGAATTGAAACTCAGTTCTTCATGTTTAGGTTCAAAACAGCAGATACAGAATCAATATCAATGCATTGGAATAGATAGGTTAGGGACTGTATATAATAAATACATTTATGTGCTGTTATGTATTCCCTTAGTTTTTAAATATTTAATGTAATACAACAGTTTGTTACATTATGTTTGATGTTAAATTTATGTTACAGATGTAACAATTTATGTATTACCTGTAGTTAGTTGTACTTATTCTTATGTCTCTCAAATTGATATGTTGTAAGATAATATGAGTTTGGACACAATTCCCACTTTTAAGGAAGAGAATCTGTGAAGGCTAAGAACAAGCATGATGTAAACAGTTGTACTTATTCTTATGTCTCTCAAATTGATATGTTGTAAGATAATATGAGTTTGGACACAATTCCCACTTTTAAGGAAGAGAATCTGTGAAGGCTAAGAACAAGCATGATGTAAA